TAGGCTACCTATTAGCTCACGCACAAGCAGATCCGTTTCCTCTCTGGAGATGCGTTCTGTCTTTGCGTTTGCAAATTCTGCCGTGTAAATAGCAAATTCGCCATGGCGCGAGCGCAACTGGCTCTTAAAGGGAATGGGAGATGCGACAAAACAGACCCATTACTCATTAAGAGAATAGGGACAACCCTTTTAGACCATGCACCGGGCGCACTGACCCTTTTTCCCGTCGTTAAACTCGCAAAAGTGGATTCGGACACGCCCTAAGTGCACCTGCGCCGTGCGCTTTAGACCTTGCACTTAGATCGTTAAAATAGGGCCCAATGTCTAATTGGTCAAGACACCATTTGGGATGTGTCCACAGCTGAGTTTAAAAACTCAGTACATGATCAAATTTAGCTTTTTGCCACGGCTTTTTGCCTTCAAATTCTTTGAGCGCTTTCCCAGCATGCTCTAGCTTGCATGCCAGCTGCTCCTCTACCATCATGAGGAGATAAGCAACACCCTTCTTTTACTTTAGTTTCTTTTCCGTTGAGTTTCGTGTTCTGAGTTGAGTTTTTCCACAAAGCCGTGTATCTCCGAGTTTGACCTCGTCTGTGTTGATGTGCAAAACATCAACCAGCCCTCAACTCCACACCATTCTTCAGCCAGTGCCCAATGATTGGCGTCACTCCAGACAACTACTAGACCTCCAGCGAATCAACAACCTTGGGAAACCCCTTTGTGCAATGATGCCACACAAAGGGAATCCCTAAACACAGGCAATGCAAGCAAACCTCCAAATTCTAGCTGAACTGGTGCATTTAATGTAAAGTTTAATAGCCTCATTGAGGAACTCAATGCGAGGGTTAATTAAATGATCGATGGCTGTTCAGATCTAAGAAATTGCATATATTGCTATAAACTTGGGATTTCACATTTTCATTCTCTTAAACTCATTCTTTCCTCACTTTCTTTCTGCAACTTGTGTGAATGTGTGAGTGTGTGTGTTTATGTGTTAGATAAGTTTATATGTATTAGATTTGTCCAATAAAGTCTTATTTATATTGAAAATATATCTTATGTATCTTGTGTTTTGTGCTAACAAGTTAATGTCTTAAACTGCCGGTCTTGTTACCGTGCTAATAAATAGTTATTAATATCCGTTGCAGAGTTGATGTTATACGGCCCGTTCAATTGACCGCTGGCCGATTCAGTTGATCAGCCGTAAAACAGTGATTCTGTCCAAATTCCCTATAAAAAATCATAATTAATTCCCTTTGAGCTAAATTGACCGGTTTCCCTTACACTAATGAATAACAGGGCTCATCTCTTCATCTCACAAATATGCATTATCCATCATAACATCAGTCTGAAACAGATAAAAGCAGTGACGTCAGCATCGTGACTGATTTCTGCTGGACTTGATGGGAGGTCTAGAAAGAGGACAAGATTAACAGAGGAACAAAGACGTCCAGCCGGGCCGTGACAAACCCCTTCCATGCTGTTATTAATTGAGGACGAGAGCATAATTGAGCAAGTGAACATAATACAGAGTCCTGCTGAGAATATGACAGGGACAGAGGCACTTACTGGCTTGGGTAATTTCATTGGGATTTTTGAGTTGCTCGTGGATTTCCAGTCAATATCGGTGTAGTTGAAGTGTGAATCCCCTCATTTGGTGTTTATCTGAAGGTATAAGGATAATGAACCAGAAGAACATGTGTTGAGAACACACTTTAGAGATGTTCTAGCAGCTTCTATGTGTGAAGAACAGCTTCTGAACAATGTAGTAATGCAGAGAAACAGCAGATGAGCAGCACATGGAGCTCAGGCTGCTTGTGGCTGACAAGGAAGTATTCAAGGAATAGTTCGCCCCAAAATTATGTGATTATTTCATCTCTTTTTAGTCTTTTGTGAAACAGCAAATGAGATTTCAAAAAAATTAGGGAATCCCTGGCATATAAGGGAGATGGATAGTAACCTATACAGCCAAAAAGGACATAAATGTCAAAAAAGAAGTCCATACAATTCATGCACTAAAAAAGAGATTTCCAATGAACCTCTGCGGCTCAAAAGAAACCAAATTAAAGCAAAGATGATGGAGATGTTTCACTCCACATCATTCATCTGAAGAGTTTGAGCAGTTTAAGGAGCGATGGGCAGATTTGGGCAGGAGCTCCTGCCACGGTCTGCAAACAGAGGGGCTGTCGAGTTAAATGAGGAAAAAGTTACTCATGAAACTACTGCATAATACGTGAAGAAAAAGTCTGTGCTGAAATGTCAGGTTGAGATCTTCATGAGCTCATGAATATGTGCTAAAAACCTTCAAACGATCTGTTCTCACGCACAGACAGACGCCACAAATTCTGGAGAGCTTTGCTGGCTGCTACAATGGTATCAGTGGCTTCGTTCGTCTTCGGAACACAATTTAAGATATTTTGGATGAAAACCGGGAGGCTTGTGACTGTCACATTGACTGCCAAGTAAATTACACAAGGTCCAGAGAAGTATGAAAGACATCGTCAAAATTTTATGACGCGACGAGATTACTTTTTGTAAGCAAAGAAAACAAAAATAACGACTTTATTCAACAATTCGTCTTCTTCGCGTCACCGTAGCGCCATTTTGGAGAGTATCCACTGAATGCAAACTGCATATGCTGTTCTGTGTCAGCCGCACCACACGGATACGCAGTTTTCGTTCAAATCAAAATGTAAATAAACTTAGAAAACTTCAGATTGAACCACTGATGGCAGATGGACTATTCTGATGATGTCTTTCATACTTTTCTGGACCTTGACAGTGTAATTTACTTGGCAGTCAATGGGACAGTCACAAGCCTCCCGGTTTCATCCAAAATATCTTAAATTGTGTTCCGAAGATGAACAAAGCTTTTACAGGTTTGAAACTACATGGGGGTAAGTGATTAATGACAACATTTTCATTTTAGGGTGGAGTAACCCTTTAAACCTACGAATTACCATTTACAGTGAAAAACTGTAAAATGACATTCCCATTACATTACATTCCCATTACAGGTTTGCTTATTCTTATTTTTGTTATCAATAATGCACATTAAGGTGTTCTGTTTTACATTTTATGTTTTTTAGGGGCCGTTTACACGACAACGTTTTCAGCCAAAAACGGGAAATTTTTTATGCGTTTTGCCGGTTCGTTTACACGACAACAGCGTTTTGGGGACTGAAAACACATATTTTTGAAAACGGGTTTCAAAGTGCACGTTTTTGAAAATGCCACCGTTATCGTTTCCGTGTAAACACCCAAAACGGGAATCTTTGAAAATGATGACATCATGCGCGTGATTAGTATGTGTTAGGTATGTAGACATGCGCAGTACGTGTCGATTTTAAAGGCAAGCGCGAACAAACATACACAACAATGGCGGAGTACGTGGTACTGTTGAGTTTGCTAACGCTTCTTCAGCAAAGTGTGGATTTACTTCACCAATATTACAACCAACAGCGGAGACACATCTTATGCATCATATAATCGTCACTTCCCTACAGATACTGTTTACTAACAGGGTGACAGCGCCAACTACTGGCCTGGCATACGTAATACAGCGTTTTTAGCCGTTTTCGCGGATATGTGTAAACGCGAATCGTTTTTAAAACATTGTCGTGTGTACGTGAAACTTTTAAAAAACGCAAGGGAAAAACTTTTCCGTTTTTGACTACATTGTTGTCGTGTAAACGGAGCCTTAGTTAATGTTAATTGCATTATTTTAGTGCCGTTTGAAACCCTGATGGTGTTTTGTCTTCCGTCTGTATGACGTGCACCAAATATTGGCCATGTTTGTACAGGCCACATATGATGAACTCTGATTCATCATGTGGTTTTCTATTGTGCCACCTGTATCATTAATGGTTATCAGGTCTTGGTAGTTCAAGTAGCTTGGTATTGTAGTTTTATACCACTTAATGAAATACACAATTATAAGTTCTAAAATACACAGGCACCGATATGCTCTCCTGGAAATATTGTCACTGTAAATTTAACAGGGTATTTTTTTACAGCGATAGACTAATAGTTGTACTCTGTCTTGCTTAAAAATCAACGTAAAGTGTCCTATTTCAACTTTTATAATGTGACATATTTCTAATGTGAGTAAAGCTATTTGTAATGAGAAAATATGAAACCAGACTGGATAATAAAAAAAGGCCATTACATACCAAAATGGAGTTGGAGTCGATGGGGCTTGTGACGTCAGCTGAAAAAGAAAATCATGAAGATTATGAGGACAAACTTTTTTTTTTAATACCATGCACCAATGAAAAATTCACAATAAGGGCAGGAAAGTGTATTAATAAAGTAAACAGTCTATTTTGATTTCATATTGACTGTAATAGTGTGAAGATCAGAAGACTCACCGTAACTCAAACCGGCTCCAGCATCCAGAGGCGGTGACCTTCTCCTCACGTCCTTCACAGCTACGCCAGTGCCATTACACTGACAGCTGCAGATTTACGGGTGAGAACAGCAGGCCGTGCGGCCGTCCGTCATGCATACACTCACGGATCCTCTGAACGTAATATATTCACAATCTTACAGCCCACAAACAGAATCAGCAAAATGCAAACAACAGCTGAAGAACGAGCTGGAGAACTTCACAAGGTTGTGACATGATCGTGATGCTGAGACCTTTTGAGGCAAAACCTCATGTAGGAAACTCATATTGTTATTTACAGCATCATAAAACATAACAAAAACATGCATTTTGGTTTCCAAAGTAGTTTTCCATTCAATAGCCATTTAAAACATTCTTAAATAAGTTTCAAACCATTACACAAACCAGCTAGCTCATTAAACGAAATATTTGAAGCAAAATGGAAGAGACAAAGAAAAACCTTGAATCAGAAATGTTAGTACAATGCAAAATACTGATTATACGCATAAAAGCTAATTGAACATAGATGCACACACACAAAATCATCATAATACAGGATATACATTTATTATTTTTTGTGTATGAACAGTCTGAAATGTTCAAATTAGCACCATCAAAAGTGTCAGTTTAAGTACCGATCACGTGTGCAACTACTGACATACAGTACTGGAATACAGAAGCAATATTCACCACACCATACCTGGAACAAGCTGTTGCAACAAATAGTTCTGACAGAAGCAGGTAGATTCAATATGTATTAAATAATCCTAACAAACATTAAAAACACGTTTCATTTAAATACATACAAAAGTACAAGAACAAAACGTGGAGAAACTGCTGAATTTCACAGTAGTGAAATTTGTCTAGCACCTGTTGTGACCTTGTGCAACCTGATAGATGGGAGCCAAGGTCTTGAACACACACATACATACACGCTCTGTTCCAAAACCTAGTGAGCATTTAAAGGCATCAACGGAGTGTGAAGGTCAATATGTATGCTATGCATTTCACACTTATTGAAGTAGCATAAAACACAATCAGTTTGCGTTTGAAGTGCACTCCAAGTTGGTCACTAGTGGCAATGAGGATGCTGTCTTAAGACAATAGCTCCCTATGTAGCTCAGTAGGGTTTGAAACAGAGTCTCTCATGCACACATATGCAGTGTCACCCTCGGACATGTTTTTTTTTTTTATGAAATACAAACCTAAAATTTCACATTTTCTCACCACATCCTGACTGTAAAGTACCTTATAAACTCCTATCAATTGTATTCAGATCTTAATTATGAAATTTGGATTGCATTGCTATTTTTCTAAAAGTCTGTCATATAAAAAGGGCCTGTTTATGGAATATATTTGTACACGTACTGCCTCTATTGCACAAAGTGAGAACTACAATAATTTGATTTTAAATGAAGCCGTTGTTTTCTCATACTGATGAGAAATGAATCAAATATACAAGCACAACTACTCAAGAGTAGCTCTTAATGTGTTTGAGTGCATTAACTATGGCACTGCAGCACCATCAGATTAATAGATGATTCTGACATTAGTCACAAACATGACACTTCCGGTACCCTGATTTCACTACACATTGAGGAACAGCGCACCCTGAAATTAAAAAAAGCATTTATTTATCTTCATGTCCTTCCAAACCTGTATCACTTACTTTATTCTGTGAAATAAAAAATGAGATGCAAAACTTTTTTCCATAATATGAAAAGCATATAGCAAGCAAGGGATATCAGTATCATAAAAATGTCATAGCATTAGTTTATATGACACTATATTTCTAAGTAGATACCTCCGCACAAAAGTCAACATTTATTGTAAAATTCTAGTGTTCAAAAGAAAAAGAACAGCATACGAGTTCAGAATGACATGAGGGTGAGTAAATAATGACAGCATTTTCATTTTGGAGTGAACTAATGATCCACAGCCCAATGGAGACTCGCCTTTTTACAACGCAGTGGAGACCATGTACTTTGCTCTCTTAAAATATATGAAACAACACACATAGAGAGTGTGGTATATGATCACCAAGAAATTCTGTGTCCTCTCTGAAAGAGTCACTAATTAGCCTCAGTTGGATATGAAATACTTAAGCCTTAAAAAGAAAAAATATTCGAATGGGTCACTTATTATCAGCTTGGCTCTTCGACTGCATCGAGATGGCTCTTGACGAATTAAATACCACAAGCTACTTCAGCTCTTTTCCAAAACCTAGTGAGCTGACTACGTAGGCAGTATTTTAAGGCTCTCAGTGTGAAGGCTGTTCAAAAAGGTAGGCAGCATGATTGTACCGCCTTCTAAGATGACTTCTTTTGCTGAAGATGCAGAGAATAATGCACAGCATAATCTATTTCTGCATGCATGCATTATTCTAAAAATAGATTATGCTATGCATTATGGTAGGTCTTACACAATCATGCATGCTGCTAGCAACAGGCAGATCATGGGTTCGATTTCCAGGGAATGCATGCATTGATCAGTCTAATAAGAAATTACTATTTTATACTATTCAATATTTGCATATTGCATTGTTAGCTTAGCAACAGGCCGACTCTATTGAAATCAATATCGAAACTCTTATTGAAATCAATTGTGATTGAAGGAGCAAGGCAGTTCACTAGGTTTCGTTACAGAGCCAATATAACACAGGTAATAATAATATTAAGAAATAAAAGCAAAAACAAGACAAAAGATTGCTGATACAGGTCTGGAAAAAAAAGGTGTTGTTACAAAGTCCATCGGTTTTTGGCCAACCAGTGGCCTTATAAAAAACAACCGCATCCGGTGACATGAGCTTTACCCACAGTGCAACAGGCAGGCCAGTATGCTGAAGACGTCTCTTCTAGGGCCAAAGTGTGGATTACAGCACAACATGACAAAACAAGAAACCTTCAAGTCCGAAAACAAGAAACGCTCGGCTAACACACTGCAAGTACATACTCAGTGCAGGGGGTGATAAAGTTAATGCATAGTTAGAAACGCTCACGTTTACGTACTTGTGTTCTGCTGGAAATATCTGTCCCACTGCTTTCATTATTTCACGTAAGAACATTTTTAATAAGAATATAAAACATTGTTTTTGACAGTACGAATGGAGAAGGCGAAAATAAACCTCTATGAGTGGGAGTGGCGGGCTCATTAACTCTTGGGGGGCATTTTGCTGGTGTAAAAGTCTCTGCAGGTCTGGCAGCAGCGTTGGTACCAGCGCATGTCCTGGCACAGGTTCTTCTCTCGGATCACCCTGCAGTAAACCGCCCACTGATCCCCCGCGCACTTGTACGTCAATGCAGCTGCCAGGAATAACAGAAGGACAGGACATGGCATTTCATAGATTCAATTAATCGACACGATCCCTGACAACATGCATTCATCACTCCAGATACGCAGGTGATCTAAAAGATGCCATTTTTCATTTAGAAGATGCCTATGTTGCTGTTACAATATTTAAAAAAGCTTTTTCAAAGTTTATTATTAATTATTGAAATTATTATTTTTTTTACATTTAATTAAATTTTTTACATTTAATTCAGTGTTACTCGCTGATTATTTGTGATATTTTCTAGCAATTTCTGAGTAAAGTAAATCCTAGACATTCAGCAGATGATCACTGAGTGTGTTTGTAAAGCTGCATTTATTTAGATGATTCTCATATTATTTGTACACAATAAGAACGTGATGCTTTCCAGATGATGCTTACTTTACTCTTGGCAATGAAATGATGCTTATGCAGTAAAAATGCTTAAAGCAAAGAAAGGCTTTGTTTAAAAACATCCAAACTGAAATGGAAATGGACTGATTTAGATACTTGACATAGGCTGGTTTAAATTCAATTGAAATGTAATAAGGAATCTTTTGGAATTCTGCCAATATGATGCCTAAATAACACTATTAATAAGTAAAATATCCTATTTAATTATAATTATGATCCAATATATCTACACTGAAATTAAATGTCAATATAACTTTAATATAGATAGAAATTATATGACATTCAATGAAATCAATATCAATTATATGAAATTATTGAGACATAATTGCAATATATCTACATAATACAGCTATATCATTATTTCAATAAATATAAAAATGGTATTGAAGATAAAAAAGTGGAACAATGTGAAATAATAATTACAGAATAAAGTATCAGTTTTATTTTAGTAATATTAACATACTATTAGATTTTGTTAATATTTTGAATATTAACTATACTGTTTTCATTTTAAGTTTAGTATTAGCTTTAATCATTTTCTTGTGTGTTTATTTTTTAAATATTACTATAATACGTTTTAGTTTTTACTTAGTTTAGATATTTTAGGACTTCAGCTTAAACTAAGCTAAACTGAGAAATATTGCCTTGTCATGTTGCCTAGCTGAAATAAAGATTATTATTATTTTATTTCAGTTAATATTTATTTCAAATATAGATTTTTTTGGAAAGGGATTGTGTCATATTTCTGGTTGAAACTAAACATTCAGAGACATATAATGATACATCAGGATTTGATCTGATCATAAAAACCAGTACACTGCTTAAGTCTTACCCAGTCTAGGGGAGGTGATGGTGTTCACATTGACTTTCACATTACACGTCCCAAGATGACACTGCCTGTACGCTGAGGGCTTCAGGACTGCTGGGCAGTCGCTGCCATGGCGACCGGTCACTTTGTGCATGCACTGGACCACTCTGGACTGCAAGCCCCGCCCACAGGATGATGAGCACTGCAATGAACCAATGACCAGATCACAACAGATTAAAACATTTCCCACATCATAACCTGCTCTGACAGACCTCATTTTACTCATAAAATACAGAATCTACTCAATATTTCAACACAGTTCCTTTCTACTTCAACTGCAATGTTTATATGATAGATTTCAAATCAGGAATAAAATCGGATAGCAAAGGTATAATATCTATCTATCAAATAGGGCTGCACAATTAATCGAATTTCTAATCGCGATTACAATTACGTAATCGTTCAAAGCGGCAATTAATCGTTCAAAGTCCACTTATGTTATTCTGTGTGCTTAAGATGCTTTTATTTTATTTCTACATGTTATCTTAAGGGGTTTTCCCATTATTTTAATTCAAGTTTTAGTATAACATTATAATACCATTCATACTTTTTTAAAATAATTTAAAGAAGAAACCAATCCGATGTATAGTTGACATTTGAGGCTTAATACTGTAGAAAAGCACTAAAAGTTTTTCATTTAGAGTGTTTTCAGCTCGTTTATTTTCATATGAAATGACGGCATGCAGTTGCATCAAACAATGGTATAAACATCATTCAATGTAAATTGTGATAATCGTAATTAATAATCACAATTACAATTTCAAGGGAATAATCGACAATTATGATTTTTGTCATAATCGTGCAGCCCTACTATCAATCATATCATCTGCTCTAGGTTTGGGGCACTTTTACATCCAACCATCTTCCCAAACTTGTAATGTCAAGCAGCAGTATTGTAATTTTACAGTCATAATGTAAAATAAAAGTATTATTATATTGTTTTATATTATTATTTTATTTTACAGTGAAATATCACAAAAGCAATTTTCTTTTAGATTTTTATATAGTAATAATAATAATAATTATTATTATTATTATTGACATTTTGGCTAAAATGTGCAGCCCTACAAACAAGCACAACAAACCTGGAATGTTTTAACCCCTCAACTGTCACCGTCCCACCTGTGGGACGCTTGGCGATCCTTTTTTGTTGTTGTCCTTTTTCTCTATCAAATCTTTTAATAATCATCATAAATCATATATAATTTGAAAGGTCAAGCAGCAGTATTGTAATTTTACAGTCATAATGTAAAATAAAAGTATTATTATATTGTTTTATATTATTATTTTATTTTACAGTGAAATATCACAAAAGCAATTTTCTTTTAGATTTTTATATAGTAATAATAATAATAATTATTATTATTATTATTGACATTTTGGCTAAAATGTGCAGCCCTACAAACAAGCACAACAAACCTGGAATGTTTTAACCCCTCAACTGTCACCGTCCCACCTGTGGGACGCTTGGCGATCCTTTTTTGTTGTTGTCCTTTTTCTCTATCAAATCTTTTAATAATCATCATAAATCATATATAATTTGAAAGCTTAGAAGCCCAAGATTCATCCTGTGAAAACCATTTTGAAATCGGGAAAACCATGGAAATGGTACTTTAAAATATTTTGGCGTCTCCTCCCCCTTAGTGGGCCGTGTCAAGTGACATATTACTTAATTAAGTGAAGTGACATGTGGCCAAGTATGGCGACCCATACTCGGAATTAGTGCTCTGCATTTACCCATCTAAAGTGCACACACACAGCAGTGAACACACACACCGTGAACACACACCTGGAGCAGTGGGCAGCCATTTATGCTGCGGCGCCCAGGGAGCAGTTGGGGGTTCGGTGCCTTGCTCAAGTCGTGGTATTGAAGGTGGGAGAGAGCGCTGTACATTCACTCCCCCCACCTACAATCCCTCCCGGTACGAGACTCGAACCCACAACCTTTGGGTTACGAGTCCGACTCTCTAACCATTAGGCCACGACTTCCCTACAAAATGCATTACGGTCTTTTAGAATCAAACCTTTTTATAATCTTGACAAAAAACATATCATTGGAAAGGTCTGAGTCTCAGGATTCCATAGATGGTGGTTATTTTGAGATAGAGAAATCTAGACATTTGTGACAGAAAAAATCACATCACAGTGGAGTCAGCTGTCTTAACCGTGGCTTGTGTACTGCAAACACATAGCAGCTTCATCACTGTGTCTGTCACGCGACTCTGTTCCCCTTTCGGGCTCTGTCTTTACATTTATTTTGAAAGATGAAGCTCGCAATTATGGTAAGGGGTGTTACATTTCCGACGAGTGCTTGCGGTGTTCGGCCAATCACAATGCACTGGGTCAGCTGGCCAATCAGAGCAGACTGCACTTGTCGGAAGGAGGGACTTTGTAGAAAACGAAGCGTTTGAGAGAAGCTGGGCATAGAGGACCTACAATAATGTACAGTATTTGAAAAATAATGTGTTTTTTGAACATTAAAGCATGTCAACATATTCTGTTACACCAAATACACAAAATAATGATCTTTAAAAAAAGTATCATATGACCCCTTTAAAAAAAATTCTATGGAGTTTGGATGGCACCCGGTGGCTGTTTGTGGTATGATGCCCTAAATAAAATCTCACAGAAACCTCAATGTTTTTCATATCAACTTCAAATTTGGAACATAACTTATTTAGACATAAGGCTTTAAATTTATACCAATTTTAGAGTAAAACCTGTTACGTAAAATATTTATTATATATAAAATAAAATTAAATTAATATAGTGCATTTTCTTTACAGTAAATTTAAACTACCATAACTTTTTACTTTACTTTTTTGAAAACATTCCACTTTTGCGATAATCTGCCAACCTTATGACCAACCTTATGTCTGTATTCCAAAAGTGTTCATAAATTACAACAATTTAAGTTTGGATAGTGCACCTGCATGACTATTTTACAAAATGGGGGGTGACAGTTAAGAATAGCAAAAAATCACAATTGATTGATTCTTTAGCTCAAATCATGACATAAACATATTTTTTCAGGCTGGTCAAGCTAATGCACATGTATATTCAATAGCAAACAGAGGCGATTGGCAATTTTAAATGTAAAAACGGGACTATTAATGAGTGTTATCATTTCTTCCATACATTATTGCAAGAGTTGGCCATTCCCTCTGCTTACAATGTGACAAAACTCAACAATTGACGGCAAACATAATTTTAGAATAAATAAAAAAATATATATATTCTAATAACATGAAATGAAAAGACTTTCAACATTACAAAAAGTAACAATATGACAACAGCAGCAGCTACGTAAACCAGCAAACAACGCAAAGATGCATTCATATATTTTAACAATAACGAAACAATCATTAAATGAATCAAAATAAAAAAGCATTTTTATGCATGGAGTCGAAGGGCCAGCTTTGTCTTTGAGCCTGTGCTAGTGTTTGTATTACAGTCAGTGAGCTTTCATGGTCCCCTAATGAGCAGCGCAGTTTTCTCTTTTCTGTTCAGAAACAATAACAATTCATAAGCCTGGCCTACTTTACAGTGTGTGCTGTAAGAGCTCAACAACTCTCAAACGTCTTCGGCTTCCGCTTGACATTTCTGCTCATGAGGAGTTTATAATTATGTTGTTTTCAAGCAAGCCACACACTTGACAGTATATAAAGATTCAGACACAGGCCTCCATATCATCAATAAACTGCAACTGCATCCAAATTACTCGTTGTTTAGTAGAGATTATAAATGAAGCATTACAAGACATTACAAGGCAACTGAAAACAACTGAAGTTATGAAACAGCACAAAATATGAATTGATAAGAGCATATTCAAATTGGCCAAAAAATGTAACACACAAACACATGCATGATTCTGAGTGAATCTGCTCACGGCAAACCGACTGAATAAGATTTCCAGAGGAAGACAGCAGGAGGAAACGGTTCTTGAATAATGTGTCGTTCTGATTCCTGTGAGACGAGCAGGAGTCATAATGTCAGCGTATCGCCGCCATCGTCACGCTCACGAATTTAAGACCCAAAGGAAGCTTTATTTCTCCAATAACACTCCGGCGAAATTAAATCAGCGTATCTCTGTGACAATCTAATACATTTTAATAGACTTATAGTTCGACAGGGCAGGAACAAATTCAGTTATTTCATCACTGGCTGAGGAGAGCTGGGAGCAGACAGCATGATGAAATGATAAACACAAAATACATTGTTCAATAGTCCTTAGTGCAATGCAGTCAAAACACAGTCTAGATCAGGGGATTAAATATATTCATTATTATATATTGAGTGTTGCATTTTAACACGCTTATAGTTCCATAGTAATGCATTTCTATAATTATATACTTTTCTATATATTTTTTTTTAATATACACATTCCTACATTATATATAAACATTTTGCTTTCACAAGTTTGAGGTTGGTACGATTTTTTTATATTTTTGAAAGTCTCTTACGCTCACCAAGGCTGCATCTGTTTGATCACAAATACAGTAAAAACAGTAAAATTGTGAAATATTATTATAATTTAAAATAAGTGTCTCCTATGTGAATGTATATTAAAATGTAATTTATTCCTGTGAAGCAAAGCTGAATTTTCAGCATCATTACTCCAGTCTTCAGTGTCACATGATCCTTTAGGAATCATTCTAATACACTGCTTTGAAACATTTATTGTTATCAACAATGTTGAAATCGGTTGTGCTGCTTCATATTTCTTGTGAAAATCATGATTTTTGTGACAGTGATATTTTTTCACGATTCTTTGATGAATAGAAGCTAACAAATGGAACCTTATAGTAAAGTGTATCCTATAAATATTCAAGAACCCAAACTTTTGAAGAGCAGTGTAATTTGCCATTTGGTTCACTTTTAGGAACAGTTTCATTTCTTCACAGAAATTAGTGTGAGATCAAGCAGTATTTGTCGCAGACCCCCGGGCTGGAGAAACGGAGTTGTTGGCTGCCATAGCTGCAGATGAAACAAACGAAAATTGATTTGCGAAGTGGCAAAAGGTGCATGAAAGCAATATACTTCCCTGCCTCCGAGGAACCCAAACGCCTTTCAACGGCGCACAGTATTTTACGTTTACAAGGGATGACGGGCTATTGAAAATGAAATCAGCGTGGCAGGTTA